CTGCTCCACTAAACCTAACCCACTACACCACTACCACCTCCACTTCACCTACTCCTCACCTACTACACACTCACCCTCTCCTATATATAGGAATCATTGTAACCATAACATTAATATCAATCAATAATACAATTCTCCATTTCTCTTTATAGATTAAATTTTCTACACTATGTGGAAGCAATGAAGTGCCAAGGTCCTGAGAATCTCAAGGGAAGTGCTTGGAGAGTCGAAAGGAACGGGATCCAGCTCTAGGGAAACTTGGTGGTGGAGGGAAGAGGTCCAAGCGGTAGTTAAGGCAAAAAAAGAGTGCTTTAAAAAGTGGCAGAAGGATAGAACTGAGGAAAACCTTAAGAGCTATAGATTGGCTAATAAGGAGGTCAAGAAAGTAGTGAGAGAGACTAAGTTGAAAACTTATGATGACCTATACACTAGACTAGATAGTAAGGAGGGAGAGACGAGGGTATACAAACTTGCTAAGATACGAGAGAGGAAAACAAGATATTTTAATCAAGTTAAATGCATCAAAAGTGAGGATTCTAAGGTATTGGTGAAGGATGAAGAAATTAAGAAGAGATGGAAGAACTATTTTGATAAACTATTAAATGAGGAATATGGAGGTACGTCAACAGGGGAAGAAATAACCAGTAATACGATAAACCAAGACTATAGGTCCTATCGCAAGATTAGGGAATTTGAAGTGGAGATTGCACTTAAGAAGATGAAATCAAATAAGGCTTTAGGACCCAATGATATCCCAATTGAAGCTTGGAAGTGTTTGGGTAAAAAGGGCTTGTTTGGTTGACTACGTTGTTTAGCAAAATTTTGTTGACTAAGAACATGCCAGATGAGTGGAGGAAGAGCATTTTAGTGCAAATTTATAAGAATAAAGGAGATGTCCAAAATTGCAACAACTATAGAGGAATCAAGCTATTGTGTCATATAATGAAAGTGTGGGAGAGGGTGATAGAACGCCGATTGGGAGATATAACAGAGGTGTCAGAGAATCAATATGGGTTTACGCCTGGCAGGTCAACAGTGGAAGTGATTTATCTTTTGAGAAGAATAATAGAAAAGTATAGAGAAAAGAAAAGAGACATTCATATGGTGTTTATCAACCTTGAGAAAGCATATGATGGAGTGCCTCGGGATATAATATAGTGGGTGTTAGAGAAGAAATGGGTGACAAAATGTTACATTGATGTGATTAAAGACATGTATGAAGGGATGGTGACCACTATTAGATCGCCTACTGGAGAGACAAATGAATTTCCTATCATTGTAGAGTTACACCAAGGATCTACCCTAAGTCCTTATCTTTTTGCTTTAGTTATGGATGAGTTGACGAGAAATATTCAGGATGACATGCCATGACTTATGCTTTTGCAGATGATATTGTGTTAATGGATGAAACTAGTGAAGGATTTAACACAAAGTTGGAGATTTGGAGAAAAGCACTTGAATTTAAAGGATTCCGGATAAACAAAACTAAGACAGAGTATATGGAGTGTAAATTTGGTAACAGTAACAATGAAAGTAGAGGAGAAGTAAAGATTGAGAACCAAGAGTTGCCTAAGAGTGAACATTTTCGTTATTTAGGGTCGATTATCACAACGGCGAGAGAGATTGATGTGGATGTGGCCCATAGGATTAAGGTGAGATGGCTTAAGTGGAGAACTGCATCTAAGGTACTATGCGATAAATGAATACCCACTAGACTAAAGGGTAAGTTCTATAGAACGGCTATTAGACTAACGATGTTGTATGGGACGAAGTGTTGGCCAACCAAGAAACAACAAGTAGATGAGATGAGTGTTACTGAGATGAGGATGTTAAGGTGCATGTGTAGTAAGACTAGACAAGATAGAATTAGGAATGAGTGTATTTGGGAATGGGTAGGA